GGGTGGGGGTCGGGTCCCTTTAAGCACAGCCCTCGGCTAGCCTGAGGCAGCAGCTCCACGCTCTAAGTCCTCATCTGATGCCCTGCCGGCACTGCTTCCGGCCATCCTTACCCCCGGTTCAGGGTCCACTTAATGTGGACATGCTAGTTCGAATTAGCAATTGCTAATTCGAACTAGTTTTTTAGTCTGGATGCGTTAGTTCGAATTAGCATAGTTCGAACTAGGCTTAATCCTCGTAAAATGAGGTTTACCTAGTTCGAACTAAGCGCTCCGCTAGTTCGAATTAAGTTCGAACTAGCGGAGCGCTAGTGTAGCGCCTATCAAAGTTAGTTCGAACTAAGCTCCGTTAGTTCGAACTAACTCTGTAGTGTAGACATACCCTTACTCTGCCTGCCCACATAATACTGGCTTTTCAAAGTAATTCCTGGAAATATATTGTGATACAACTGAGACTGTTCCATTGGCAATTTGTCCTGAAATCAAACTTTTGTGAGTCTAAGTTGTTATATGGATTCCAGTGATTTCCGATTGGGTCTGAAATCGACCCAAAATAGTTTTTTGTATTTTAATATTCTGTGCACTGGCATATTGGATGGCATTACAAGCCAAACAAGGGTTTTTAAAAAGCTGCTTTTAAACTAACAGTAAGAGGTACACTTTCAAAGCAATGTGGCATTTTTAGCACTATGACTCTCACTACCTCCACCAGTGTCATTAGAGGAGAATTGCGCAGCTCACATCCTACACAAGCCTAGCAATGTAATTTGTAAACGTAGGAATTACTTGACTCACCATGGAAATGCAGATATATCTTGCATAAAATGCAGAAGTTGTTTATTACATTGAGTTACAAGTAACTAGATTTTGCTGTGAAGCTCTTATAATCAAAGTGGATCAGAAAAAGTCTCAACTTATCAAAACATTTTTTAGACGACTCTTATTTTTTCTTTTAAAAGGTGTCACTGATTTAATCTGTTTATTTAGAAAAAAATTCACATCCAAGACTAATGCTTTTATCTCGAACTCAGGAGAGGTGAAAATTAAAATAGCCAAGTTCAGTAACTTGACCTCTGATATACAGAATTGTGTAATGGGTCATGGTAAAATCATCTACAACTATATCAGAGATAGTGTAATGTCATCTGTGTATAGTATCTTTACAATGTCTTACTGTGTTAGTACTTAAATTCATTTTGAAACAAAATAGCTGAACAGATTTTCATTGTGTCAGATATTTGAAAGCTTATAAACAGAGAAAAAAATGTTTTGTTCTTAATGTTCTACTGCTAACATATGTGCACCTAGCAAAAAAAAATTCTAGTGATGCTGGTTGTTTTACATTATGTGTTATATACAACAGACTGTAAATATTTATGAAGAGTTTTGAAGTTTTGCATGTTTTCTCTTTCAGATCAATGAATCACTATTAGCAATTTTTCTTTCATTCATATTTCAGGGGAAAAAATAGAGAGCTTCTTGCCACATTCCATGTGGACCCCAAACTCCAGTTGACTATACTGGAAGTTTTGCACATGGAATGGACTTGTAGGCCAACATTCTAAATTTTGGAGCCTAAAGGAGGACTCTTAAATCTACAGTTACTCACCTAAGTAAGGGAACTGATCTTCAAATGTGCTAAGCAGCAGCAGCTCCCATTGAAGCATCTTTGAAAATCAGGCACTTTTATTTAGCTGTTTAAATATTAGACTAACATTAGATACCTGCGTTTTTACAGGAGGAACCATTATAGTCAGACCTAACACTATATTCCTTACTATGGTAAAGTGACCAACACCCTCCTTTTTGCTCCCATTATCTTTAATGGGAGTTTTGCCAGAAAAAGGAATGAGAAATGATTGCAAGATTTGGCCCAGGTTTTTTACATAATGAGTTATTACATGCTCATGAAAGTCAGTGGCCACAAGGTTCACTGCCCTGTTTCACAGAGGGTACTGAAATCTAAACTTGCGGCAAGCCGCTGAAAAAGAGCTTACTAAGAATGCAAATCCTTATTGGAATTTATGCTTTCTATTTAAACAGATGATACCGTACATGAGTCTGCCGAGCCATCCCGCGGTGAAAATGCAGCACATGCACCGAGGATATCCAGTCGGCTTTTGGCAACCCTACTGTTCCTCCTGGCGATGCTTTTGACATTATAGCACAGTATATTCCAGTAACCTGTCACAGAAAACATCAGGGTCTTGGAACATCAAAGATCCACCTAACTGCTCCTCCCAAGAAAGGGACTTTATATTGGTTTTGCAGATGTCATATTGGGGTTTTTGGTTGGTTTTTGTTGTTGTTTTTTCTTTCAGCCTGAACTATGAGCAAGAATTTGAGAGGAATAACTAGTTTCAGTCCCCAACCTTTCCCAGTGACTTTCCTTCACCCCTCTAAAAATCAAAGGACTCAAAGTGAAAATGCCAAATTATAACAGTGATACTAGTGATTCTTATTTTCCTCTGCGTTCTCCTTTAAGAAGTCACCTCCGCTAGCTCACTGTGTCATCTGTATGTGGATACGGAAGAATAGTGGCAGATGCAGTCAGTGAATGATAAGGAACCTGAGTGGAAGCCCAGGAGGGTTTTACTCTCCAATACAATATTTATGCCTTCTTGTTCAGTACTGTAAGATGATCATGCAAGGCATCATGTCACCCTGTCAGAACTGGAAGGGAGATATTAAGAACTGATATGATATAACACTATTTCCTCTAGGAGTTTCTAAATGAACAGGCTTCTAAAAGGAAGAGACACTGTATCTTTTAAGATTGTCTTGAAATATCATTGACAGTAAAAACCTATGTTCTGAAATAGAAGCTCTGTCTTTAGAAAACAATTAATATTTAGGAATGTTAACACACAGTAAGCAAGTTCAGATTTAAGAAACTTTGCTGGGGGTGTGAGTGCCTCTATTGTTTCCATTTCAGTGGGTAGTGCACACCAGATAATTTTCTTTCAAAACAGATCACCATGGTGCTACAATTTTTTTTCTTGAAATGCAAAGAGGCATTTTTTTGTGAATAAAGTGACCTTCCCCAGGGCTGACTTAATAGCTGATAGCCTTGTATACAGCTCTGGGTGTCAATATCTTCTAAGGAGAGGACTTCAGTGGCCAGAGGAAACATGTTTGGGACGCTGGACGTCCAGTGTGCTCTTGATTTGTCTCCCCTGCAAATTCCACCACCATGGGAGTTAAAAAAAAAAGCCAAAAGAAGCTGAAACAGTCAATTGGCATTTGGGGGGTGGGAGTGTTTGAAAGTATGGAATACAAATTAAAGTGTTGTTTTTATATCTTTCCCTTTCCAACATGGTTTGAAGAGTAGAGGAAATATGTTTAGCGGCAGGAGATAAACCAGATGGGCTCCCAAAGACTTTAGCAAAATATTTTTTTAAAAATCCACTAGAATAGAAAATACATTATTTAGATATACTTTATGCTGAAAGTGAGTATATATGCTTGTCCTATTTAAGCGTGAGAAAAGTGGTAACCCTTGATGCAATTAGAAAATGAGAACTGTTTGGATTGATGAAATTGGGGGATGACCCTGTTTAAGAAATCTGAGCAGGCCAAGAAAGGACTTGAGAAGTCATTCACCAGGAAATGCAAGCCATGGGGTTTCTATTGGTGAGGCTGCCATGGTCTATGAACTCTGAAGCATAGTCAGGGTAATGTATCAGGCCAATATCAAAACAAAGCCTTTAAAAGAAAAACTGATTATTATGATTATTTGAATGTGAAAGAAATGGAACACATTCCAACAAAACAAACCATTTAATGTATCAGTTTCACAGGAAAAAAAGTAGTTAAAATTAATAGGGGTTGTTAATGGGCTGAATTTTGTGAATATGATTATGAAATCATAGAGCTGCTGCTTAGAATTTTAAACAGTCCATGATCCAAAAAAGAGAAAACAAAGTGGTATACGTGTTAAACTAAAATCCGGGGTTGCCTCATACTCTACAGCAGGGGTAGTCAATTATTTTTTGTCAAAGTCCATATTTCTTGGTCAAGGTATAATCAAGGTCCAGACTCCAGTGTAAATAATTTTAAAAAAACTCCACTAATTATATTAATAAGTAAAAATACTTCACGGTCTGTTCAAAAGCAACTGGCCATCCAGATTTGGCCCACAGTCCATTTACTGACTACCCCTGCCACATAGTATGGATATTGATGCAGATGCTGACCTTGAGTCATGATTAAGGAAATTTCTCAAACACACACAATGAAAAAACACAGTCCGGACACTGAAGAAAATCACCATTTCATTACAATATTGTCAGTAAATTTCTCTTTCTCCAGCATGTTTTCTTCAACTAAGAATTAGTTAGGGTTGGTCCTGCTTTTGGGCAGGAGGTTGGACTCAATGACCTCTTGAGGTTTCTTCCAACCCTATGATTCTATGATTCCAGAACTTTGGGAGAGGTAGGCTTAAGGATGAAAACCAACCCCATAATAGACAGAGAATAGATAATATTGCAAGGTAAACATATTTTAAAAGATTCATATTGGTTGCAATTAGTCACAATGATACTGCTGATTTTCTTTTTGAAGTGGTGAATTTCATTGTGTCCTATCATTTGTGTATGAATGATAATGGACTTTCAAAACCATGAGGGTAGTTTGACTTCTGTATTTGGGGGGGGTGGGGGTCATTCCAGTCAGCTCAATGGGGCCACGCGTGGGGGGAAGGATTGTGAGGTGCCAGATTCTGTGCCTGTCTGACTGGAGTGTCCCTTGCAGAGAGTGAGGTGGGGGAACAGTACCCCCCATCTCCTACAAACTATGCCCATGCTGAAAAGCCGCAATTATCAACAGCAAACTGTTTTTACTAGTGTATTCCATAGTGAAATTCAATCCTTTATTTTACCAGATTGCCAATGCTTAATTAATTAATCATAGCAAGACTATCACATCTAACAGACTACTACACTGCACAGAATAATATAACTGTGAATTGCAAGCTTACTGAACATCAGCTTGGATACTTGATGGCATCAGGCAATCCCTGTCATATCAAGTGAGCAAGCACTGTAAACCACTGAATCTCTGGTGTTTCTTGTGTTGAGTTACAAAACTCCGGAAGCTTTGAAGGATTATGGTGGAAGTTTAAGCAGCTGACAACACCCCCAACCCTGCACAACACCCCCACCCTCTGAAGTCCGAGGGACTAATTCTGCAACAGCCATCTCTCTGCCCAGACACTTCACCCCTGTGACCTGCACTCCTGGTTGCCAAGGGCTTTGCAACATGAAGCAGGGAAATAAGGATCAGTCTGTTTAGTGGATACTATGTATCCTTTAATAGACACAAGGTAACATTTCGTGTTAGTTTAGAATATTGTTTTGTACTGTACTTTCTTGAATGGCAAAGGAAAGACAAGTAAAACTTAAAAAAAAATGCTATGTTCTTTAAATTCTGTATTTAGCAACCTCTGTTGTATATAGTGTTTGATAATAAAGTATTAATTTGATTCTTATGTCTTTTGTAAGTGAGAACAATAGACTTTCAGGATATTAAAAAAATTGCATTGATTATAAGACAGAGCTTTGAAGCATCAAGTGTAATCATGGCTGAGAACTGAGTTATAAGGGGCCATGACTCTGCATCATACAGGACTCATCTGTGAAAACTGTTCACCTGATCTCAAGACTTCACAATGTCAAGACCTAGAACAACATGACTTTTGATTATCAATGTTTTGTCCTCAGTGTTTAAAGGTCTGATGTTATGTGATTTTTTGTGTGTTTGGTTTTTGTTCTGTTTTGTTTTTTTAACATGTTGTTTTCTAAAAGGCTTTGGGGATTGTACAACTCTTCTATTCCATTAGGGTTTTTTTATCCGTTGTTTTCTGTTTTCCTTCTGTGCTTTCCTTCCACCTCCCGCACCCCGCCATGGATAATTTTTTTCCCCCAGCAGGGATCTTGCCAGTATCATGTATGACATGTGCATTGACTTGATTCCAAAACAACAAGCAACAGAGTCGGGAGGGTCAAATATGGATTGTTTCCTTTCCTGTATAATTGTGGAAGGAAAGGGATTATATTTGTACCTGTTGATTTTTCCTAGAAACTGAACTTTATCTATTGCCTCATGACAACAATTGTCAGTTTCAGAAAATAATTTAACTTTCCTCCTCTATTCATTATGCTCAGATTTGTGCTCACCAGTTTTACTTTACAACTCTTCACTTTACTCCCCTCCCCCATGTTTTAATTTGGAGCAGTGAATGGGCAGATCTGTTTCTGGTTTGGCATCACTGAGTTTTTCCCATGCATTCGCCCCCAAGCTTTTCGGATGTGAGACAAATCTCCCTACAATAGGCTTGCTGCCATTGTCTGTACAGTTTAATAGATGCTGGCATGTTGGAGGTTACCCATGAGTCTGCAAAATCCGCTTTCCATGCTTACTCTTGACACCCCATTGAAGCCACTCATTGTGTGTGCATCTGGGTATGAAAGTCCAGCTCAGTGTGGTCCTGTGCTTATACTGCCCTGCTTTGCAGTTTCTTTGCACTTATTCATTGAGTGCTGTTTTTGAAATGCTTACATTATATGAACTTAAAAGAAAATGTTTAAAAAAACCCAATCCATAAGATCTGTATTTGTATATACACGTGTCCGTTCAGTTATACCTAAATAAAAATTAAAGATTTTCATCATTTTAATTGGTTCTCTTAGGCTACATTTTTGTTCACTGAATGATTCCTTTATTTCAGGGGCTATTTGTACTTCGTCTTACATATTTGTGGGCAATGGATGGCAATAAGGAATGTAATAGGGAAAGGCTATGGAATGTGAAGAAAGCCATGTGTGCAATGACAAATTGCCTGGAGCTGTACTGAACTTGGGCACCTGTGAGAGTCTGCACCCCTGATGTATGTGTGTATAGCCTTTCAGAGCACTTGAGAAACTAAGGAATTGTGTCCCCCAAGGGTTGGACTATCCTTACCTGCTTTATGTTGCTTTTGCCCCACGCTGCACTACTTTAAAAGCCTTTTTTAAGGCCCTTGATAAGAAATTCACAAGTTCTAAGGCAAGTAGTTTGTTTACAGCAGATCAGAGCAGGTGCAAGGGATATACAAACAGGGCAGTTGCACATGGCACCCTTTTGCCCATGATGCTCCCTGACTTACAAAGAGACCGGTGGGAGGGGGTGTTAGCAGAGGCTACCATTTTAAAATAAATGTTTAAAAAAGGAAAGGAGTGAGAGCTGTGAGAGGCTCATGGAAAGGGGGGAGAATTTTAACAATGGTGCCTCCCCATGGGATGTGGGGATGGAGAGTGAAACAAGTTGCTTTTCCTCCAGCCATTCTTGTAGTGCTTTTAAAAATATGTAAGACTGGATTAGCTAAGATTTGTACTCAGGTCTGAAACTGTTTTTTATGTTACCTATTCTGGAATCACATTAAGGTTACAGCAGCTTAAGCTAAGAAATTAAGTCATGTGGGAGGTGGGGGATACACAGTGAAACCTCTAAAATACACACTGTGCATTTCAAAATTCAGCTTTAATTACACCATGTTAGCATGAAACTCATTGAAAGCTTTTTTTATTACATGCAATTAGTGGACAGGGCAGCAAGTACTAATTGTAACTTACTGTAACCTCTGATGCAAATGAGGAGTGACAGCTTCCCGGGAAGAGGATTGGTGGGTGTGAGTGTTTAGTCCAATGAATTGGTATACTGGATGTTTGCCTGTGGAAACGTAATCTTACAATCACGGCAGGATTATAAGTGACACATGTTCAGTATGTCTTAACATAATAACCATATCCCAAAATTACCCTGCTATTTGACACAGCTAATAGTCTTGGCTCAAAAATCATTGTCTTTGCTGGGAATGGCCTTTGACATCATTCCTAGGCCCTGGTGTACACAACATGGTTCCATGTTGTTTTCCCCAAGAATAATTTTATTTCCAGAATACCACAGGAAGCATTACTGAGAATATTCTGACATGCCTCACATCACTCTGATACAGCAAAGTGGTGGTGCAGTTTGCTGCACATTACGCAAAAGATGGGTTATTTTGTTTCATTTGGAGACACAGCAACCAAATGGGATGGTTGGTTTTTCTACAGATTTTGTGTAGAAATCTAAATTACCCCTTGCTTTTTGAGTCCCATTTTCATTAAATTTTGCCATTGTTAGGAAACTCAATTTAAACATAGGTCCTAATAGACATCATATTACGATGGTGCATAGGAGCCACAATCAGGAATAAGGCTCCTATGATCTAGGGCTTGTATAGTCACGTAAGAACTGTTCCTGCTCTAGAGAGTTCATAATCTAGGTTTGTTTTTGACATGATTGTGACCGTCCAGAGTGAACAGGGACAAACTGAGGTAATACTGTAATTAAAATAGTATTTTAGAAAAGCTAAGGACCTACAAAAACCACATGAAGTATCTCCTAGATGAAAGAAGGCCAATAGGGTTCTTAAAATCCAATTTAATAACTTTACATAGTTGTATTGCAGAAATACAAACGCACAGACCCAGATTTTTTTCAGGTTAATCACATGATATTGTCAGTCATAGTTAATTGAGAAAAATTCAGACTATGTGGTGAACTTGTACAATCAATAATGTGCTTAGAAATAGCTGGATTTTCCTGTGATGATTATTCCAGGAATTGCTGGCGTCACTTAGTTACACAAGGATACTTGTCAATCCGGAAAAGAAAAACTAAAGAAAAACAAGAAATAAACTAGATACATACCACTGGAGAAAAGAAAGGAAATGCTTCCATGTTTTGCTAGACTGTATATAGTATTTAAGAAAAAATTTGTTCCTTCAAATTTATACATTTTATAATTTTCTAAAGGAAAGCGCAACTCTCTCGAGTTTTCTTCCTGCTTTTCAAAGCTCATGTTCAAAATTTTACTCTATCTGCTCTAAGTTCTATCTTGTGGAGCCCATATGCCCCCTCAGTGACTTGAATTTATCTATACTCATTTTAACAGTGAAACATGCACCCACACACATCCCTGCGATAAAAATATTGGGGCAAAACTTCAGTTTTTGTCTGTATGGGATCTGTAAAAGGAAAGGTCAAAGAAATCAATAGCGTATTGTAGCTATAAGCATCTCTCTGTTACTCCTATTGCAGAGAACTAGTAGTGTCTTTGTTCTCAGGTATTGTAACTTACAAGCACCGTAACTAAAGGATCCACAGAGGGATCATCTAATACCCACCTCTTAGTCCAAATAATTAAGCACTTTCACTTCAACAGCAAAGAAAAGCCTAAGCAGAAAAATGACGAAAAATCAAATGCAAGAATATGTGATTAACATATGTGTTACTCTGATTAGCAGACCAGATGTGATATTGTTGAGCTGTTCCCAGAGGTGAAAGTAAGCAGGTGCGCCCTAGTATGCATCTCCAGCAAGAGCTGGCTGAGCTGCGGCAAAAGCCAGCAGGGAGCTATGTAAAGAGCTGGCAGGGACCCAGGTTGCAATAGGACAGTACCTGTAAGAACTTTTAAGTTCCTTTCACCATTTGCTGTTGCCTTTATTGTTTGGTGATTGGGAATAAACCTAATGATGGCTGTGAGCTTTTACCTTTTGACTGAGGAAGGTCAGCAGGCTCAGGCCCTGCATCTGAAGGGAAACTTGGATCACTGAGACTATGTCTACACTGCCCCTGTTTTGCGCCAAAAATATGCAAATGAGGCGAAGTGTGGCATATTGCTGCACCTCATTTGCATTATTAATCTACACAGCTCCTTTTTGTGCAAACCCCCCTCTTTCGCAAGAGCCGTTTTTCCACATTTTTTCCCAGGAAGAACAGCTCTTGTGCAAACGGAGTCTAATTAATTATGCAAATCAGGCATGGTAATATTCCACGCTTTGCCTCATTTGCATATTTTTGCATGAAACGGGGGATGTGTAGACATAGTCCTTATATCATGGAGCATTATCTGTATCCTAATCCTACCACTTTTCCACCATTATGAGTAACTGTTATGAGACAAATTTCATTCAAACAGGAATGTCTTCAGTAAGAGCAAGGCAGGATAGACTCCAGACAAAGGAAATTACTCTTGGTAAGAGTATTCTCTTTCAAGTGTATCCCTGTAAAAAATGTCCTCCTCCAATTGTGAAGATGCATAATAAGCTAAGAAGCCAGAAAGTCACTGAGCTGGTATTTCTGAAATTGCTCATCGTTGGCTTAACTCTATTCCTCTTGCACTCAAGAAGGTTTTTATTATTTGTGTTATGGGGAGCAGTATTAGGCCAGCCCTAAGCAATTTTGAAAATCCCACTCTAAAAGCATTTAGAAATGTGAGGATCACATTGTTATTAGTTATAAAAGAGCCCAAAATATGCCAGGTGCTTAGGAAGGCAAATAAAGAGACATGATTTACTGCTAATGTAAAACATAATGCATGGTGAGGAGTTGCAAACAATAAGGCATAGGAGTATTGAGAGGCCAGGATACCCTCAGCACCAGTTACTCAAAGATACTCCATTTCACTTCACCCCACTCTTTGTTAAAAAGAGCAAGTCATATCTTGGAGAACTAAGGTTTTATCAAAGATTTGCATGAGGGTGGAGGAACACTGTGGAATTATATTTTTTAGCGATGCATCTTCTGCAAAATCTGAACCACTCGTCTGCTAAATCTCAGTAACTACAAGGCGCTGAGCAGCTTCAGGCTGCAGCTGGAATTTCAGGCACTGGGTGTCCTCAGCATCTTTTTAGGATCTTATGAGAAGCAAGGGAATGCACAACAGTCCCCTGGCTGCTGAGCACTCTACTCAGCAAATGTAGTAGGTTTAATCTTTAAAAAAAAAAAAATCCCCATAAAAAAGACCCCTGTGCTGAGG